CTCCAAAGGGACTGGAATAGAGTGAAGATATTGCCTAACAGAGCCCTGGAAGTCACTATCTAAAGGACGTGTCTGCGAGATAGGAACTTGAGTCGTAAACTGGAATAAAACCTAACTGAGCCCTAGAAGTCACTATCTAAAGGACGCGTCTGCGAGATAGGGGCTTGAACGTCGTAAACTGGAATAGAACCCCCCCCTAACGTGGCTAAACATAGTTTCCATATTGCCTGGCATAGCATTAGAAGTGATATTTGGCTCCACAGGAGCAAAGATAAACAGAGATCACGTTCCGGAACGGTAACATCGTAAATAACGTGGCCCAACGAGGGCTCAAAAGGGACCGGACAAGCATGTCTCCTCGAGATAGGGACTTGAGCGTCGCAGACCGGGATTTGTTTCGCACTCAAAATGCGTGCACCGACTCAATCTACAGGGTGAAACATGCTCTTTTTTTCAGTATAGCTCGAATCACCTGCACCACGTTACATCACGTTCCGTGACGCTTTAACCTTGTAGACTCGCGCAAATCTTGATGGGGAAAAGAACGTGAACTGCCTGAATTGCCAGGGAGATTGTAACCTTAGTTCACCACTGTTCTGGAAAGTACTGCAATAAATACTGAACAAATTTCATGTAGCAGGACACAGAGTGATGGCACATCACTTGCCAGTGCGCCTTGCTCTTGTCGCCGATGGCCGCGCTGGAAGTATCCGCCGCGGGTACTTCCGGAAGAGACACCTCCAGGTTAGAACCCTTCTGGAAATACCGGACCCTTAGTGGTGGCACATCACTTACCAGTGCAACAATGCAGCTACGGTTGAAGCAACGAAAACAACCGTCGCCAATGACGACATGAGCAGGCAATTTCCGGTGTCGATCGGTGGATGCCACGACCTGCCACGCCTTGCCCGTGTCACCGATCTCCGCGCTGGAAGTATCCACAGCAGGTACTGCAGGAAGAGACGCCTCCAGGTTGGAAACTCAAATATATTTATCCATTCTCCGGTCGTGGACCATCAAACAAGTCCACCGTGGTGTTTGTAGGTTTCAAAGAGTACCAAGGGAGATGGCTCATTTTTTCTAGCTGGCTACTTCAGAGCGGTCTTTCTCTGATCGTCCACGCTGCATGGTTGCAATCCTTGGAGCTCAGGTTTCCCCAGGTTCAGGAAGGCATATTGACACACAAAGTCAAAGCGCCACGAATCGCGTGGGGGCGGCAGGAGCGCCCTGCCATAACCGAGCTGTTTCCGACAAAACTAACAGGTCGTGCGCGCGCTGAAGTTGCCGACGTCTTTGGAAGGCACTAAATGTCTTGGTGTTTCGGTTCGGGTGGCATTGAAGTACCTTTGCAAGTGAAGCAGATTCGAGGTTTCCAACCCCACTTGAAGCGTTTCTGTTCGACGATTTCTTTGGCAATCGCTGGCTCAAAATCGCGCAAAGACAAATTGCGCCGATCACACGAACTGCACG